GAAAAAAAAAAAAAAAAAAATCAAAAATTTTTAGACGTCTGCTAACTTCAGTGTCATTAAATTTTATAATATGTCCCAACCGCCGAAGAAGATGACATTTAACAGCAATCAAATTTTTATTTCACAGACGAATTATGGGTTGGAGATGGGCGATGTCCACCTAATAGGCCACAGTCTTGGTGCTCATACTGCAGGATACGCTGGGGAAAAATTGCAAGGCGAAGTTGGCCGTATCACGGGATTAGATCCTGCGGAGCCCAATTTCCAGGGTATGCCCAGCCACATTCGATTAGATTGGACGGACGCTCAGCTTGTTGATGTTATTCATACCGATGGGAAAAGTATCTTCTTTCTAGGTAAATTAAACAAATTAATGAATGGTAAGCCAAGAGAGATAAATTGACTGATATATATATATCTTTAAACATTGTTTAAGGATATGGAATGAGTCAGCCGTGCGGGCACTTGGATTTCTACCCAAACAATGGAAAGGAGCAGCCAGGATGTACAGATTTAAGTGAGACAACACCTTCACTACCGCTCACACTAATCAGAGAAGGTCTTGAGGAAGCGTCTCGCGTCCTTGTTGCCTGCAATCACATCCGAGCAATAAAACTTTTTATCGAAAGTATAAACTCAAAGTGTCAGTATGTAGCGCACGAATGCAATAACTACGCAAATTTTCTCCGCGGTGAATGTTTCTCTTGTAAAAGTAATAACAGTCTCAGTTGTGGCATTATGGGCTATCATGCTGACCAGAGTCCTGCTTTGGTGAAAAGGTTAGCAATGGGCCAGTCTGCCAGTACTTCTTTACTTGGTTCTAAATTTTATGTTTCTACTGGCAAAGAAGATCCTTACTGTCGTAAGTTTATTACACGCTTTTTATTTTTATTATTATTATTATTTTGTATGATATAATGTAAATTAATGGTATAATTATGCATTCATCACTCATTACATATTGCTAATATTATTTTTTTATTTGAAATATAGGAAGACATTATAGAATAACAATTAATTTAGCAAGACCGCAAACTGCTGAAAGTTGGGTTCAAGGTTTTATGAAAGTTACGCTACACGCTGAAAATGGGATTATACGTAACATGGATCTTACTCCGAAGTAATTACCCAACTAATTATTTCAATTAAAAGTTAATTTATTAAATCAATTTTTTATTTATTAAAAAAATATATGTATGGTTTATTTAGCGGGTATATGAGGCTAGAGCATGGTACCACAAGAAAGATAGTAGTGGCACACCCTGGAGGTGCAGCTAATGATATGGGGAAAATTCGAAAAGTAGAGCTCGCTTGGACGTATGACATGGATGTATTGCAACCGCGATCACTTTGTTTTTTTTGGTGCAATGACAGATTGTACGTTGATAATATTGTCGTTGATATAATGGAACTTCCAGGACGAGGGTATAAAAATTATCTATTTTATGATTTTATACATCCAGTACACAGAAAAAAAGGTTCACTTGAGCCAAGAAAATATTTTTCTTCCTAATTATTTTGTTGTGCAAAAAATTATTATATTTTGACAAGAAATTTCACTTATTCAAATTTTTTTGCAATTATTCTAATACTTATTAACTACACAAAAATGAAAATCAAAACCAAAAAAAAATTTTTTTTAAATTAGAAAAATGGCGCTGAAGTCCCCCTCTCAAAAAAAAATGGACCTGACTAGTGGAAGTAGATTGATCTCTCCCTCTGATCTGAAATTAAAAAATATGACTGATTTTTAATTTGTATAAGTATAGTTATCGTGCATACTAGAATGAAAAAAAAAAAAAAAAAAATATTTGACAAAATGGCGCGTAGTTAAAAATATTTTTTGAAAACGAATTTCGGATTTTTACTAAGTCAAGTTAAGTCAAGAAAATCTTGTTTTGAGAAAATTTCTCTCTTGCTCCAAAAAAACTAAATATCTCGATAGAAGTAAATTTTCATTAATTTTTTTATTGATTAAAATATTAAATGGGAAGATCAAATAATATTTCATCATTTTTTTCATTCAGTATATATAATTGCACGCTAAAATAATATAAAATGGGTATCAAATATTCAAGAGAAAAATTACTTCCACCAAGAATAGAATTTCAAGAAAAATTTTTACTTCGGTCTTCCTTCAGGCACCCGACAAATTTTCTTGAGCCAAGAATTTTATTCTCCAGTCAAGAAATTTTTTTTCTGTGTAATTTCACTTTGTCATTAATATAGTTTGCCAATTATCGTTAACCGTGTTTTTTATTTTTTGTACAATTATACAGGAAAAGAGAAACAGATTTCTCGAGTAAACTCTGCTCAATTCAAGGCCGTAAAAGTTACGCTGAAATAACGAGTGGTTCTAGTTCTGCTTTTGTTGATAATTGTCATTAAGAAGACAAGAAGAATACATATAAAAAACTATTCAACAAGCAAGAGGTGTAAGTTACCTTCAATACCATTTAGTTGGTATTATCTGTCAAACTCATTACTCAACGTTTTACAACATAATTTATATTAGTCTACAATATGTACAATATTCTGTAAATACGAAAAAAAGGCATCATATTTTTTAGCGATTTTTTTTTTCAATGCGTTATAATATTATCACCGTCCTATAAAATAATACATTGTATTATATTTTCGCGCATTCTGCATGTATACGCTTATATATCTATAATTATATTATTTTTTATACTTTTTATATTATTATTATTTGTATTATTGTGATATATTGTTAAAACATCCGTTAAAATAATTTTATTATAATAAATGGAAATATTTCTTCTTTACATTGTTTCATAAATGTTTTATATTATTTAAAGAACAAATAAATGAATATAAGAAGTTTACAAATTATAAAATTTTTTTTAGCGCATTAAAAATTTATTTGATAAAAGAATTATATAATATTCTTTTGAAATAAAAATATGAATATTCTAACATTCAAACCCTATAATTTGCATTGACATTTATAAAAAGACTATCCCGTCAACTTCATTATGGAGCGCATGCCGCATTACACTTATCAGCACACACATTAATTTAATCTATTGCAATTGAAGATAAGCACAATAGAGTATCACAGAAAATTTAACTTCCTAATTATCTATACACTTGATTGTTTTATTGTTAGCTGGCTATTGAAATTTACAGCTTCAGCAAATTATATAATATTTTTTCACTTACAATTGTCTGTTGTTTGAATAAGAAAGTTTATTACTACAATGAATGTATATAAGTCGCTCAAAATTTAAAGTAAAATTAGTTCTATAAAATCTCGTGTATGAGTCTATTTACAAATAGTAAAATTTCTTCTTAACTGTTTTAATCTCTTGATTTAAGGTAGTACCCTCGCGACATATAGTGTGCGAGTAAATTTAGGTATAGTTTAAGATATTTTTGTCTTTCTCACTTACTATTCCTTACTCACTTCTACTCATGGTTATTTTTGAATAATACAGTTATTTTTTAATAATATTTAAAAATCTAGATGGTAAAAATCAACTCTCTAAAAATGAATCAGTGGAATTTCACTGTTTCACAGTTATAAGTATACCAAGTGGTATGCTTATAACTCGCTGTGAAATAGTGAATTTACTACTGATTTCCAGTGATTTCCTGTGATTTTCACTGTTTCAGATTTAGAGAGAATGAAAGTTTGAAAAAAAAAAACAAATAATAGCTGTTTTTTAATAGTAGTTTAGTTTTTTATCAAAATCTTAAAAAAAGTTTCTTAGTTATAATAAAATATACGAGTAAAATTTTCGGTATCCCGTATATCACAGTGCATAACTTCCTCTAAAAATTCGAACTTTGAAATTAAATATCTCTGAAACTAGATGGTCAAAAAATTTCAATTTGCGTCAATCGATGCAGAATTATATAAATATTAATCTGCCAAAATTTAAAAAAAATTCCTAAGAAAACGCCTCTGGCGAGGGTACGACCTTAAAAGTCTATAAATTTAACTGTAAATCTTACGGGCACATCAGTCTCCGAGGTAAACAGTCGCTGTAACCAGGGTATATAACCATGAAAGAAGTTAAAATTAAATTAAACAGAGCGTTAAACTTGTATCAATAAATAGATACCGGGACATATTATGATTATGATCGTAATAAAAACTTTTATATTGACTTTAGACATTAAGTTTATGACATTTTATACACTTGGAACAAGATTTTATCAAAGTTTATACCTGTATTAAGAATTAACTCGTCAGAAGTTTGTTAATCTTCAGAGTTTTTTAAAACTAAAACCTATAGCTTGATCATTTTTACAGTAATTACATTAAAATTTTCTTTTTAAATTAATGTCGGCAACCTGAATCTGAAATTTACCCAGTTTTATTATTTAAAAAGAATTATTTAAAAATTAAGCTGTTATCAAAGATTGGGTTGCAGTCAACTAATAGCCAGACTGACAATATTCCGAATTAATAAATTACTAGAACTTAGAAAATAAATATTAAATGTAATTTAAAATAATTAATTTTACAAATTTTAAAATTCCAAAAGATATAATCTTAAATAAAGAAAAAACTAAATCCATATTAATAGAATCTTTCAAAGTCACAAAGTCTCAATAAATTAAAAAACATAACAACGAAAATTTGTACGCCAGAATGAATGAACAGACGAACACTCATTTAGCCGAAAAATGTAAATAATTTTATATTTAGATTAAAAATTTTTTTAAATTAATTATTTTAATTAATTTTGTTTTAATTTACAAGCATGTATGGAAAAAACTCAAATTTCATGCTTGTAAAGGTGGTGGACCATCTAAGAAAAATTTCCAATTTTTTCGGGGAGTAATTTTCGGCCGAATCATTATTCGAATAGATGAGTATTCGGATGAATATACGTCGGAACGAACCTTTTTCGAAATCAAGTTAATTTTAACTCTTGAGGAATATAAGATTTATATTTACTTATAAATTTACAAAATTGTTTTTCGGCTGTTTATAAACTTTGAATGTAGCGGAATTTTAAATTTTCTAGAGTTTTAATAATTCGGAATGTTGTCGATCTGACTGGTTGACCGCAACCCCAAAGATTATACCTATATTAAAAATTAACAAGTCGGGAGTTTGTTAGTCGTTAGAGTTTGTTAAAACTAAAACCTATAGCTTGATTATTTTTACAGTAGATCCTTGAATCACATAACTACATTTAAATTTTCTTTATAAATTAATGTCAACATCCTGAATCTGAAATTTACCCAGTTTTATTACTCCAGATACTTTGTCTTTAATTTAAGAAGTCGCAAAATTAATTCTGCAGTGAAGACAAAAATTTACAAACCTAATGTTACTTCTTTGGTATTCTATTCTTCTTAAAATTAAAATGTAAAAACATAAGAGAAGAAATTTTGTAAAAGTAGTTTAAAAACTTACCTTGCACTTTATTTGTCCTTGAAAAAGTCTTACACTTTAACGAGGAAGTATAAAAATTGAAGAAGTTAAGTTCCAAAATAGTTTTAAAAACTCTAACAATAGATTGACCGCCTAGATAAAAAGGACCTTTTGTTATTTTGACTTAAAGTTGACTTTTAAATTAAGAAAACAGGATAACATTAGAAGTAGCCAACAAAATTTTAAGATACTCCTTTGTCTTTAATTCAAGAAATCCCAAAACTAATTCTGCAGTGAAGACAAAAATTTACAAACCTAATTTTACTTCTTTGGTATTATATTCTTCTTAAAATTAAAATGTAAAAACATAAGAGAAGAAATTTCGTAAAAGAAGTTTAAAAACTTACCTTGTACTTTATTTATCCTTGAAAAAGTCTTACACTTTAACGAGGAAGTGTAAAAATTGAAGAAGTTGAGTTCCAAAATAGTGTTAAAAACTCTAACAATAGAAAAAGGACCTTTTGTTATTTTGAATTAAGTGTGACTTAAAGTTGATTTTAAATTAGGAAAACAGGATAACGTTAGAGATAGCCAAAAAAATTTTAAAAGTCACGTTATTTGACATACTTCCATGTCAAGTAGATTGAACCTTAAATTTCAGTTACTTCCCCTTATTCTTGTAATAGTCTGCCGAGAACAAATTATCTAGTTTGTAAGTACATACAAATGTTAGAGGTTACATTAGCCGGCGATTTAGTTGAAAAGTGTAAATAGTTTTTCTTATCATTCATTCAGACAATGTAATATTTGATAAACAATGTGTATAATTAAAAGTTTTGAGATTAATGGCTCGAGATTAATAGAATACCAGTGTAAAAGAAATATTTATCCTAGGTCGTAGGTATAATTAATAGTGTTCAAAAAATATATTTAGTATCATCCTAATATTTTGTCTATAAAAATGTTTCAAGTGGGGGATTCCTTGCGATATCTCCTCATCTAGTGATATTAATATGAATAATGGATTAATTTCAGTAAACTAGCGATGTGCGCTAGAATGTGTTTTAACGTCCTGTGAATTTTTATTTCATGTATTGATGCTTCGGTGCTATTTAAATATAAAAGTGAAATCAATGTTTAATTTACTACTTTTTTGACGATATATATATATTTACTGTAACGAGTTTATTTGAAAGTGTTTAAAGTATGATGTAATAAACAAAAATACATATTTGCAAAAGGATAAGATGATTTTAACGACTGCTTTAAGAAGAATAGTGGTAGCTTTTACGTTTTTAATTTTAATTTTAGTAGTTTCTCTTACCGTATGGTTTTATTTGTACCATAATCAAAAGTGAGTATAATACATTATTATGATTTTTTAGTTGGTAAACAATCTATTAAATTTTTTTTTAACACAAGATTATTTAAAAATAAATAAAAATATGCAGGTGTTTAAAGTTAATAATGACATTAAAGTTAGCAGTCACTTAACAATTTTCTAATTTTATTTATTAAAAAAATTTGTTCCAAAAAATTATTTCTAAAAAATTGCATTTTTTATTTTTTTAAATTTCTACATGTCAATTTTTTTTTCTAATTTTTTTTTATTTGCCTTAATTTATTTGTTATAAAATTTTTTAAATTATTAAATATATGCTAAATTAATTTTCATAAGTTAATAATATTTTTTTTAGATATAAAAATATAAAATAAGCAGATGTCCAATAATAAGAAGGATTTTTTTTATTAAAAAAATTAATAGAAGAAAATAAATATTTTAAAAACTATAAGTGCATTAAAAAATTTTTTTTTAAATTGCACTTATAGCTAATTTTAATAATAAAACGACTCGTTTCATTTTATAGCTTCAATATTATTACACAATTTAACACTTGTTTAAAACTATGTTTATTAGTTTTTGTAGTAATAGTAATGGATTAAAATACTTTTAAATAAAAAAAACTATAATTTAAATAAGGTAATTAGAAATTAATTAAAAAAAAAAATCAATTGTTTTTATAATACATTTTCGACATATAAGTAAAGTTCATGAAATAATTCGGTTTCTACTTTCTTAGATCTCACTATGCTAATCGTCTTCTTTTCTAATAAATTAAACAAATGTTCCTAATTAAGAAAGTGACAATTTAAAAAAGAAATGAGAGCTTTTATATTTAACTATTAGAAAATGAATAATCATTAGTTTCACATTTTCGTTTCAGTGAAAATATTTCGATAACAAAAACAAATACAAGCCTGAAAAATTACTCAGAAGTAAAAAATATTCACCAAAATGGCCGATGCGCACTATCAAATTCAAACTGTAGTTTCAAAAACTCGACCAATAGTGATAATAAAAAGTTGGAAATACCCGAAGTTGAATTAAAAAATAATGAAGATAGTATTGATGATGATAATAGTAATACAACTGTATCAATTGAAGTGAAAATACCTCCAAGATCAATGATTGACGATAAAAACTCGACGGAAGATGATTTTACGGAAGTTTTGATACCAATTGAACCAAAAGTTAGTAGTGACGTGCCTTTAGAGGATAATCAGGAAAGTAATGAAGAAACACAACCATCAGCATTAAAAAATGATACAGAGAGTGTTTCAACAACATCAACAACAACGACAACTACAACAACAACAACAACAACAACAACAACAACAACTACGACAACTACAACTTCAGCGCCAGTTGATGATGACAAAAATATTACAGATGATGAAGACAACTCTGAAAAAGAAGGTAATAATTATTGATAAGTAAAATAATAGGTTCACAGTTTTGTGGAAATATTTATATGATGTTTATTTAAATTTTCACAACGTTTCGTCGGTTTCCCGACTTCCTCAGGTGCTAGAATAATTAAATACAATGTTATGATAATGTTTTTTGTAATATAATTACATGAATATTATTGTAAAGTATTTTTGTATGAACAACAACACAATGAATTATTGATAAGCTCAAAAATATAAACAACTTTTATTGAACTTTCAATTAAATTTATTGCATTTTAATGATACTGAAGTTAACAGACGTCTAAAAATTTTTGATTTTTTTTATTAATTAAATTACAACTAAAAAGATATTTCTAAAAAAAATGCACTTATAGTTTTTCAAGTTTTTTACATATGACAATTTTTTTTTTTTAATTGTTTAATTAAAATTTTTTTAATAAAAAATTTCTAAAAATTATGAAATGTCGGCTAACTTTATTTTCATTGCATTTTACAGCAACTAAAGACAATGTCAAATGTTTCGGCGAATTAGGCTGTCTTAGCACTCCAAACAGCTGGTACCATCCGATATATCGTCCTTTCAATTTTTTTCCATTATCCAGAGAGTTTATAAATACAAGTTTTGTACTTTACACACGTAATAACACAATAAAGGTAATTCACTAAATTTATTTCAAAAATTCTCTCAATTTAAAACTAAATTTAAAAATCTAAAATTTCTTCAGGGACAAATTTTAAATGAGGGTAACCATTACTTAGTAAAGTCGTCAAATTTCGATCCAAAACGAAAAACCAAGTTTATTATCCACGGATATATTGACTCGTCATTAACGGATTGGGTTAAGGTAAATTAATATTATACAATTGTTATATTATCATAAATCTTTATCATTATGTATTAAGTTAATTAGAATTTTTGATTACGTAGGATATGAAAAATGAATTACTTGAATATGATGATTACAACGTAATTACCGTCGACTGGGCTGGAGGTAGTTCGATAGCAATAATATACACTCATGCTGTCGCAAACACTAGGATAGTTGGTCTAGAAATTGCACATTTTATAAACCACCTGCATGTAAGTGATTGCTTTTTTTATTTTAAATTTTTTTATAGCATTAGAGTTATGAAAATTTTATTTTATATTAGGTAAAATATGGATTGAAATTGGACGACGTTCATCTGATAGGCCACAGTCTTGGTGCCCATACTGCAGGATACGCTGGAGAAAAATTACAAGGTAAAATTGGACGTTTATCAGCACTAGATCCTGCCAAGCCCTACTTTGAAAATATGTCCAATGATGTGCGCTTAGATCCGACTGATGCGCAATTTGTTGATGTTATCCATACCAGTAGCAGAAACATTTTTCGATTAGGTAATTTTTATCACTGCTTGATGTAGTTTTATAAAAATAATAAAAATTTATATTTTTCAGGAATAAATCATCCTTGTGGACACTTGGATTTTTATCCGAATAATGGCGATGATCAGCCAGGATGTACCAGTGTAATTCTTACAAATATTTGCAACCATGTACGCGCGATAAAACTCTTTACTGAAAGCATTAATTCTAATTGCCAATTCACAGCCTATGAATGCGATAGCTATGACAATTTTATTGAAGGTAATTGTTTTTCTTGTAATAATAACAACAGTCTGAGTTGTGCAATTATGGGCTACCATGCCGACAAAAGTCTTGTTTTGAAACAAAGATCAATTGTAGACAAATCGATAACTGATTCATTAATTGGTAGCAAATTTTTTATTTCTACTGGTGATCGAAATCCTTTTTGCCGTAAGTATTTTTTGACAAAATATAAAAATAAAAGTTACCTGCATGAAGAAATATATATGTCGCATATCGACGGTCTAATTAGCAATTGGTCTAACTCTTTATTTTTTATAGAGTCATTTTTTAACATTTTGATACAGCAATAGTCCAATTATAAATTATTTAAATGATCCAAATCAAAATATTAAACCTCTATTAGATATTAATGATATTAATGATATGGTTTTTTAAAGTGATATTAAATTTTGGATCAATTGTTTTTTCGTACAAATGGAAGATTCTCTAAAATGGAGTTAGACCATTTGCTAATTAGAACGTCGATATATAATATATATATATATATATATATATATATATATAGAGAAAGAGAGAAAAAGATATGTGGATGTATATTTTTCATCGTATATGGTATGATTATATATATATATATATGCCGCATATATTTACGTAAAAAAAATATTTCAACGTATATTTTTCACATAAATGCTGAGATATATTCGATGGTTTTCTAAATAAACATAGATGCAGGCATGTATATTTAGATATATATGTAAGCATACACTGAAAAAAAATTTATTAGTTTAAGAATTTTTTTACTCAAATCAAGAAAGTAAAATTTTTCAAAATTATTTACTTGATTTAAGTTAAATTTTTTTCTGTTTATATCTAGACATATATATATTTCATTTATATGCGAGGGTATATATAGACATATATTTTATTATCTATCGCGGAATATAAGTTTGCATATATTTAGCGCAAAAAAAATATATGTAAAAATATATGTTCACATATTTTTCCATGCGGGTTATTTTCTTTATTTTTAAAAACATTAATTTTTTTTTTTTTTTAATTCTGCAGAAACTCCGTATAGAATAGCAATTCAATTAACAAAAACAATCCAAGCTAAAGAATGGGTTAGTGGTCTGATCAATGTCACATTGCATGCAGATGATGGAATCATACACAATATGCAACTTACTCAAAAGTAATTTTGGCTTCATAAATATATTTTTATAAACATTACAATTGAATGCTTACTAAAAATAATTTTTTTCTTAGCGATAATCGACTGAAATTGTATTACGGAGAAACAACTAGAGTAGTAGCAGTTCCGCCGGCAAGTTTTAAAGGTGACATAGGAAGAATACGAAAAATTGAACTTACATGGACTTGTAGTAGTGAAACGTTTCTCCTATTTTGTTGCTCTTCGTGTGATGATCCATTGTATGTGGAAAAAATAATTGTTGAAAAGCCAGATTTACTGGGCCGAGGGTAAAATAATCGTTTATCTTTTTTATTTATTTCATATGACTATTATTCAAATAATTAATTTTTTGTTTCTCATGTAGGATAAACAAGGCTAATTTCTCGAGTACACTCTACCCGGTTCAAGGATCCCGAAATTATACTGAAGTAACAAGCGGTTCTAGTGAAACTTTTGTTGATAATTACGAAGAATACAAGGATACACAAATAACATTGTAAGCAGCTGAAGGTGCGAGTTACCTTCAAGTCTTATAATTTTGATTCTTAATAACCTATTACTCAATCCATGTGATTTATTAGTTAAATATCTGTAAAATATTCTGTAAATAAGTTTTTGTACGTTTGTTAGTTTTTAAATTTTATTATATACCTTAAAACTGTTATTATCAATTATCAATTTTAGTTAAAAGAAAAAGTTTTTTTAAAATTAAGCTATTATCAAAGATTATACATAAATTAAGAATTAACATGTCGGGAGTTTGTTAAAACTAAAGCCTATATAGTTTCATTATTTTTATAGTAGATCCTTGAATCACATAACTACATTTAAATTTTTGTTTATAAATTACTGTCAACATACTGAATCTGAAATTTACCCAGTTTTATTACTCTAGATACTTTGCCTTTAATATAACAAATCACAAAATTTATTCTGCAGTGAAGACAAAAATTTACAAACCTAATTTTACTTCTTTGGTATTATGTTCTTCTTAAAATTAAAATGTAAAAACATAAGAGAAGAAATTTTGTAAAAGTAGTTTAAAAACTTACCTTCCACTTTATTTGTCCTTGAAAAAGTCTTACACTTTAACGAGGAAGTATAAAAATTGAAGAAGTTGAGCTCTAAAATAGCTTTAAAAACTCTAACAACAGATTGACCGCTTAGATAAAAGGGACCTTTTGTTATTTTGACTTAAAGTTGAGTTTTAAATTAAGAAAACAGGATAACGTTAGAAGTAGCCAACAAAATTTTAAAAGTCACGTTATTTGACATATTTCCAAGTCAGGTAGCTTGAACCTTAATTTTCAATGACTTCCACTTATTCTTGTAATACTATAGTAAAAAAAAATTTGGTTATTTGTTAGTTGATATACAGCGTTGAAAGCGACAAATTCGTCGACAAAATCTAAATAGTGAAATAACAATCCGTAAAAAAAGTCAATAACTTTTTTATAATCAAACTTTTCCAATTAATGTTCCAAGTTTATGCCTATAAAGTTTCCAATTAATGTCCCAAGTTTATGTCTTCCTTGAACGTGACATTCAAAAATATACCGATAATATGTGACAATTCTTTTAGTTCAAGTTCTTATTTTTTCTATTTTTAAAATTAATGCTCACATATCTCCTGTACCAATTAGTGTTATTAGTTAATACTATCCAGATCAGCCTACATACAATTATAAAAATAGCATTATATTTGTGACAATAAATTGATTTCGATATCAGTTAATGAGAAATTAATTAATTTTAATAGACCTGTGACGGGCACAATATTTCATTTAAACATTCGATGTCTCTCGACCAATCCTAAAGTGACATTAGTTACCACGATTTATAGTATGATTTTTAAAAAAGTGTCGGTACTAAAAATATCCAAAAGTGCAAACTATAAAATAATAGTTTTTAAAAAATTAATAACTTATTTTCAAATTATAATAAATAATCTGCTGATAAAATGAGTTGGAAAAAAGTTGTTAAATATTTTTGCATAATTTTTGCATCCACAATTCTTATTTCTGCATTATGTACTGGCTTGTGGATATTTTTATCTCAGAAAAAGTAAGTGTGTTAGATAAAAATTTAATTTTAACTCTTTTCAATATAAAAATATCAAATATTTCATGAAAATGAACTTAGCCGACATTTCAAAATTTGAAGAAATTTTTTAATAAAAAAATTTCAATTAAACAATTAAAAAAAAAATTGTCACATGTAAAAAACTTGAAAAACTATAAGTGCAATTTTTTAGAAATATTTTTTTAGTTGTAATTTAATTAATAAAAAAAAACAAAAATTTTTAGACGTCTCCCTAGCGGATCCGTATACACTGTGTATACTCGGAGTAAATTCGGTGTAAACTTGGTGTGGTGTATACTGGGGCGATACGGTGTAGTGGGTATATTTGGTATTTTTCGAATAAACACTAAGTATAGATAAAAAATACACTCAATATACTCGGTGTGAATTCGAATCATATACCACAAGTTTACACTGAGTATACACCAAAAAAATTTTCTATCTCAACGTTTCTTGGTGTATTACTTTCAATGCGTATACTGTAAAAAATTTTTTAAGTCCATTCTAAGAGAAATTTTTTTCACCAAAAAAAAATAAATATGTATCGACTTGAAATAATCTAAAATGAATAAAGAACAGGACATCAGGACGTTTAATTGTTTTGGTGTAACATGTTGAATGAAAAATTTTAAAGCACAAAAAAATTTGTAAGTCCTAAAAACTTAAAAGTTTTCAAGTCCTGTCTAAGAATAATTTTTTTCGGATAAAAAAAAAGTATATCTGTACGGACTGAAAATAACTTGAATTGGATAAGTAACATAATTTTAACATGTAATTTCTTTAGTTTGAAAACTTCACTGTTTACATCGTCCAAAAATCTCAATATTTGTTGACTTTTACGCAGGCGCCTTGCGTAGTCTCAATACATTCTGTACTGTGCAAGTTAATCTACAAATAATATAAATTTAGTCATTAAGTCTGTTGTGAATGATATATTTATATTAATGTCATTATTTATAGAGTGAACAAAATCAAAAATACTTATTTTACTAAGTAAACAAAGTGATCATCTTTATTTCTAATATTTTTACTTTCTTACATCATGGACACTGGAACATGATGTCTTGATTTCAATTAATTTATCAGTTTCTAGCAGTTTGTAGCCCATTATTATTTATAAATTAAAAAAATTTTTTATAATTCAACACTTAAAAAAAATTTCAAACCCTACTGGGACTTTGAAATTTTTTTAAGGTGTAAACAGGGAATAAGTCATACACTGGAACATGGTCCCTTAATTTCAATAAATTTATCAGTTTCTGGCAGTTTGTAGCCCATTGTTATCGATAAATTGAAAAAAATTCAAACTCGGGGACTTTAAAAAAATTTTCGGTGTATACTTGGTGTATACTGAGCATAAACCGATCCGCTAGGGCTGCTAACTTCATCAGTGTCATAAAAATATGTCATTATTATTTATTATGTATATTTTTTTACAGAGAGACTAATCCGGTAGTTTCAACGCCGAATTTAAATATAACTGAAGAAAAAATAAATAATTTTAATAAAACTTTAAATAAAAAAGACGACAATAATAACATTAATCTTGAAAAATTTAATGGGAAAAGTACTGATGAAGAAAATATAAGCACTTTGATAACACATGATGAAAAAACTAAATTCAAAAATAATAATTACAACATTAAAATCGAAAATACGAGTTCAAGAGTGAAACCGGTTTCAATGGAGAATTTTGAAAGGAAGAGAATAAATTTTAATATTAAAGATGAAATCGGTGATCCGGAAATTAAAAAAGTGATTCCAAAGATTGAGAATAGATATTTTTTAAATGATATAATAACTCGCAACTCTGTTGCCAATAATAATGATGATCACAAAGTGTCTGGAATAAAAAATTCTTTGGAAGAAACGACAATTGTTTCGCAAGCTTTGCAATTCATTAAATTACTAATTAATGGTAACGAAACAACTGAAGCAATTCATGACAATGTAAAAACTATAAAAAATACTGAATTTTCTGTAAAAGACAAAAATACTGAAACAAATATGAATGATTTAAATATTTATAATAAAAACAGTGATGTTACTGAAACGACCATAAATGTATTAGACGCTGATCGTTCTAAAGAAAGTTTATCTTCAGGATTAATAATGAATAAAACTAAACTACCGAGTAGTGATGATAATATAAACACAGAAAGAAATTTAACCATTCAAACAAAGAATGTACCGTCGATATTAACTATTACAAACAAAACTACAACCGAAAAATCGCAGAATGACATTATAACGGTAGAAACTATTAAATCGTGGATTAATAACATCATGATTAATGAAGTTGATAAAAATGAATCAAAATTTAATACTACTAATGAAGAAACTGCACATGATAGAAGAGATGATGATATTAAAATTAAGAAAAAAATCGAATTATCAAATGGTAAAAATATTACGACGACTGAAACAAATTTAAACACTAAAAGTGATGAAAAAGATTTACTTTTGGTAGCGAGTACAATTACTAAAACAACCACATTTGTCGATAATGATAATGTTAATGCTATCAATAATTTTAGTTTAAAACCGAACTTTTCATTAGCTTTAAATACAAGCGAAAAATCTGGAGCAAAGAGTTTAGATTTACATTCGGAGTTAAATGTTAGTACAGTAATTACAACTGGAAAAACTAGCAATGATAGTGAAACTAATATCAGATTTTTAAATAGTGACGGCAAGGGGATTGCAAGAAATAAGAGTAGTTTAGAAATTGGTAGTAAAAATTATTCACCATTAACATTTTTCTTTATTTAAAATTACGAGATAACTTACGGTAATTGATAAATTAATTAAAAAATAGTGGTTCGTTTTAAATAAACACACGAGCTGTCAGACAATAAACAATTGAATAAACTGACCGGTGTTACCTCACAGCTTTGACTGGTATGACCCCAACCGATAGTTGAGAAAATAAAATTTATTTTTTACTCTCAGCTGAATAAGAGTACAAAATAAAACAAAATTCAAAATTTAAGGTATAGTAGATTTTTTTTAAATGTTGGTGACCGGGGCGACCCCAAGCTCCCCTAATTATAAATATTTGTTTTAAAATGGTACCAACCAAAGGTGCTTCTAGATGAGCACGAACGTGTGACGCCAGCGCCGGTACACTCCATGCTCTTGGCAAAGCTCCTTGAAGCTCTGGATAATTTTCTATTCCCGTAATATTTAAGCATCTGTGATGCGGTCCAGGCCGCGGTGAATCCTCGCTTATTCGCGAGAGCACTGTCTGGACAGCAAGAGCCGCTTGTTGCAAAGATGCACTAGGTGTCACAGTTGACGCCTGAGCTTGTGGACTCTTTGGCTCTTGACATCCACCAGCTATCGGAGTCGCTGTTGCTGCGGCTTCGCTATCAACTGTGGACTACACACTCAAAGTTTTATTTCTGACAATAGTCACTGTTTTTAGCAAACAGTAAAAAAGCACACTATTAATACAGAGATGAAAGGTTAAAAAGAAAAAAAAGCACCAAAATGAAAAAAAAAAAAAAACAACTTATATTTTCATGATTAATCAGCCAAAACTTATCTTTCTTAAAACAGCTCTGTTTAAATTGCAAAAAAAAAAGTTGGCTATGCCAACAATTAAAATAATAATAACAATAATAATAGTAATATACTTAACCAAATAAATTTTTTTTTTTTACTATACTATCACTTAGTGATATGATAATGATATAAACTAAATAACTGAACTAACGAGTAATAGAGTAAGTTGGTGATGCTTAAGCAGGTAATAAAAAACAAAAAAGAAAAAAAAAGAAATTATAAAGCAAAAAAAAGCGTTGGTGAAGCTTAGCATCGCAGTGCACCGTTGGAAGAGAAGAATATCAAGCAGGAGTGTAGATACAGGCCAGACGTTGCTAGAATATCAAATACAAGTTTTCGTCAATAAAAAAAAAAAAACCAATGAATTAATATTATGTAAATTTTTTGAAATCGATGAAATGATTTTGATAAAACGATGACGATGTGAGTGTTGAGAAAGCTTCGAAAATGTAATGCAACCTACATCTCCATTCGAAGATGTCAAACTGCATAATTAATATATTTTTATTAGCTGGGAATTATGATACTTGATTTCTATTAATTAAAATTTGTCACACTTAAACTCGATACAGCAAAATAAAAAAAAAGTAATAAGGTAAAGTACCCAGTAGTTGAACAGGTTTCTAAGTAAAACGTATTTGACCCTATTTTTAATATATAAAGATGTAATTATTAGTTCAAATAAGTGATTTTCATGAAAATATAAACAATCTTGAATTGACTGAAGTGCAAAATAATGCAGACAATCGAATATTTATATTTTGACAACGTTTTTAAGATAGACTATGAAAGGAGTAGTTGAACAATCAATTCTGGCAAGCTGCAGTAGTTAAACACTACGGGAGCAGTAGTTGAACTAATAAAATATATGGCAATAGACGCACTAAAAATTTTCAACGTTTTATTAAAATATTCAAAGATTTATAACATATTATTGAATAATATTAAAAATAATACTGTAAATATTTAATATGTTTATTTAAGAATGAGAAATATTTGTATTTAATTTTTTAACTACATTTTTTATGAATGAAAAAGCAAATTTTCAACTATAAATAAAAAAAAATCAATTCAAAACGTTCAATAATTTTTAACTACACTAATTTTTAGCTCTAAAACTTGTTTAATTTGCAGGAATTAATACAAATCACAATACTGATCACTAGTCTATAAATCTATTAGAGATTAGAGTGCTGTTAAAATTATACGGCCTCAGCTTATTCAAGTTTTGGATACCGCTTTGAAAACTGGGAGGTAAAGTTAAACGCTAAAATTTAATATAAAAATTATAGTTTGTTTTTGCAAAAAATATATATGTTATTTAGAAAAGACTATTTCATCAGATGGTACAATTTTTTTTTACTGATTGTTCGGTTTACGATTTAGTACTTTTTTTATGGAAAGAAAAAAAAAAAAAAAAAAAAAAAAAAAAATAGCATTTATCGGCGATTCTCCACACGTCAATTTTTAATAAAAATATAATAGTTTTGATTTATAATTAAAAAAACTTACAGAAATCAATTACTGTATCATTTAATAATTATAATATGCACATACTACTCATAATAAATTTCAATTTGTCTGTTCAAGTACTGGTCCCATTTTTATAAGTGTTCAAGTACTGGGTACTTTACTTTAGTAAAGGAAATGGTTTATTAGAAATAAAGTATCAATTATATATTTTTGATAAGGCTTTCAATACTATACTATTTCTATTAGCGTCTGACCTTTAGTGAGGAGCAAATCGTAAAATAAAATAGATAGAAAAAAAAAGAAATTCCTTTTACCTGAGGAACAATAGACGGTGCAACACCTTTATGCTCCGGACTCTGTAAATTTTCACCCTTCCATTCATTGTCAGTCTCTTCGGAATCATCAAACTGGGATTTCCACTGGGACGCTAGTGTAAGACCCCCGCCGCCTCGTGTCACTTGCTGTAATGCAGATACGTTGTCATCATCAATTTGTGCAAATTGTGTTATTGAACAGTCTCGCATAGCCGAGCGTCCTGTTCTCGCGCGTCTGCGGGGCTCTCTTCGTAATGGCTCACGCTGTTCCGTAACTGGGCTTTGATTTCCGCCTTGCTTAGTGTTGGTGACATCGTAAGAACAGTAGGAAGCGTCGACGTCAGTCTGTATCCTTGGACTAGGTGGTTCCCCAGTGGCGTTTGTCTCTGGTAGAGCGACGACACGGAGTCTCGCGAAAGTTGCTCCGCTGGCAGACTTCCTCAACGGCGCAGCTGCATTGGCTACCGGCTTTGAACGTGGTACTTCTGAAGCTGAGCGTGCTGATGCCATCAGAGCGTCACCCTCATTATCCACAGGTTTTTCAACCGGCGGAACTGGTGACTGAGGCTCAACGGCCATCGACACGGCGCGTCGCTTCTTCGGTGAACCCTGAACTGGAGGAGTCGACGCGACTTGTTGTCCAGCTGGCTGGTGTGTATTATCAGTGATCTGTATCGTTGCATTACAATTTTTATCCCTTCCGTGATTACTTATTGCTGATGTTAATGGAACTGGTGATCCGTCGTGGCCCAATAGCAGCCTGCATAAACTTTCAAGATCCATTTTTGCCTAAATATAATAATAATAATTATTATTATTATTAGTATCAAGTTTTATCGATTATTATATTATTAATGGTAGAAATAATTTATAATTGTCATTATATATGCATATGCATGGTGAATTTAATTAAACGACAAGCTGCTAATGGATAATGATTACTCACTTCCTTTCGATTGTCTGGTTCAACATTTTCTTGGTTATTGGTGTCTACGTTTGGAGTAGTCGGCGGTTGGTTTATAGTTGTCGCTGTCGTAAGGGCAGGCGGTGCCGTTACTGTAGGCAGTGACCTCGTAGTTGGTAAACCTTCATTAGCTATTAATGGTCTTTCCCAATCGTAAGGATCGTTAAGTTTTACACCTCTACGTTTCATACATCTTTCAAACAAACCAGCTAACATAGCGTAATCAGGTTTGTCCGCGTACTGCAAACTCTGTTAAATAAATTTACCGTATTAAATTCAATTACATCTCATAAATAAATAAATACATATATATTATGAATCTATGAATCTATTCTAAGAGATCGCTCCAAATTTTTTTAAATTTCAAAAATTGTCAAAAATCGAATTTTTTTTTTGTTTTTTTTTTTTTTTTTTTTTAATTTTTTTTCTCGTTACGTGATAATTTTATAGACCAAAAAAAAAGGTTTTCCTGAATATTTCAGTTCAAAATGTGAATTTTAAAAGGTCGCTCATCATTTTTGTTTTAATTTATTAGTGACTATTTAATTGGAAATTGGATTAGCATTTTTTGACTGATCAAAAACTGATTTTTTTTCACTCGAGATTAAAAAAAAAATAGTCGGTTTTTTTGTGCCACCCTAATATATATATATATATATATAT